TACAGAGCACTTCGATCTGCCCAGGCTGGGATATGAGACAACTACCTGACCGCCAAACAAAAGGCCTAAACCAACAGAACTGATTGAACTGATACCCTTCCCGCAGCTGAAGCAAACGTGCCTTGGCAGAGTTCGCGAGCCATGGCCAAAGAGTGATCACGGCCACCTCCCGCGGTGTTTGCCGCTTACAATAGCCGTTTTGGCAAAGATCCCGTTGTCAAGGGCCGGCATTGTGAATCTTCTGTCGAAGATGCCCGAAATTGACTTCACAGCGTGCTCAAAACTAGTTGTTCACGACAAGTACTTTGGCTGCCACATGGCGCAGAACGAAACACCTTCACGCTACTGTAGCTGCTCTAGCAGGGACCACAAGAAGAAGCATGCGCCTCTCTCCTGTGGCTTCTCGCACGAAGGATCACCCTGCAAGGCCACAGCTTCTGTCAAGAAACTCTGGGTGGCGATATAGGGCCACCGTAATCGAGACACGACACCGTAAGTTAGGACGCTGCTGTTGTGAATGGCATTGATATTTAGTGCTTGGGAATCGGAAGAACGGTGACACAACTTGAACGGATTGCAAATTCGATGCGTGAAGTGCTGTCCCCACAGGCAAACAACCGCGCCCTTTCCAAAGGGGAATGTCATGTCCCTGCATCAGTACCTATTGGCTTCGTCGCACTATTGCCTGGTGTTGGTACGGCAGATGCTACACTGTTACACCGGCCTAGAGACGAAAGGCAATGCAACGAGGCTGGCATGCCAACTCCTGGCAGGCTGAGTCACGCCTGCACGATTCAGGGGGTGCAGGGGTGCGCAGCGGTCTTGGCCGAACTTTCAGTGCAGTCCCTCTGTCATGCTCTCAAAGCCATGCATCCCGTACCGCAGCTCTTCGGTCTGAGACAGCCCGTGGCCAATAGCGAATTCCATGGAATCTCTCCGCGAGTTCGAACCGGCCTCCTGGCCGGCCTACATAAAAACTGAGAATTTCGCAAATACAAACAGCATGTACCGTGCATATCGCTGCAGACGGTTTCAGGGTGTTGCTTCGGGTCTATCCAAGATGTGGCCAAGCCAAACATCCTAGTCCAATAATCTAAAGATCTATCAAGCAGCGACAGAATCATCATCGAATCAGCTACATTTATTTTATTCCCCTGTTTGCCAAGTTCCAAGCTCAAAGACAGGCTCGAAAGCGTAGAGTATCGAGACAGGGTAAGCCTAGTCTTCGCCAGCAACAGCTACACCAATCAACTGTTGACCTAATGAAACTTTCTGGATCTCGAAACGACAGGATCAACTCTATAAGCCCCCTTCAAGTTTTATGCAGTCGGTCCTTCGTTCGGGCTGGCTGCGTGAGCGGCCGTGGGCGAGTGGCATAAAACCAGCAGGCGCATATGTCGCATGCGGCAAGCATGGGGCATACATGGCCTCGAACCTTGGCGGCTGAGTCGTAGTCCCACAAAGTGCACCCTTTGGACGTTCAACCCAGGTAGCTTACATCCGTTCTGGTGTATCTGTGGCCACAGTCGGGCATACATGAGTCATATGATGACTCATCGGCCTCGTGGCTCGTCAAGCCTGTAAACTTTAAACCATGCGAGTATACCCTGAGGTTCCTAGACCGGACATCCTGGTGCGGTGAGCCCTTACAGGCCAAGGCGAGTTTGCAACTGTTCATCTCAAAGCTAAGCTGTGGCTGCGAAGCGCATCAAGCAGCGACTTTACAATTTTTGCAGCTGTGTTTACAATGCTGATTCATGAACCGGTACATGCAGATTAAACAAGTGCAGAAGCAAGAACAGTCTCTTGCTGGTTGTCTTCGCAAGCCGTAGGCTGCAAAGCACTATGCATTCATGAAAGCAAACATAGTCATATAACGACATCAGATAATTGCTATTGCGGCGATGGTCATACTCGTGCTGCTACTGCTCCTCCCTGCTGCTGCTGCTGCTGCTGCTGCTGCTGCTGCAGCTACTACCACTACTACTACTACTACCACCACTACTACTACTACTACTACTACTACTACTACTACTACTACTACTACTACTTCTAGTACGACGACGACGGCTATGACTATGACTGTGGCCATGAAGGCTGCGACTACGACTATGGCTTGGACTACGGCTATGGCTTCGAAAAAGACGGCGACCACTACTAAGACTGCTACCAGCACTTCTGCTACTACTGACTCCTACTCCTACTCCGACTCCGACTCCTACTCCTCCTCCTCCTTGTTCTGCTACTACTACTACAACTACAACAACTACTACTACTACTATTACTACTACTACTACTACTACTACTACTACTACTACTACTACTTCTACTTCTAATACGACGAGACGGCTATGACTATGACCGTGGCCATGAAGGCTGCGACTACGACTATGGCTTGGACTACGGCTATGGCTTCGAAAAAGACGGCGACCACTACTAAGACTGCTGCCAGCACTTCTGCTACTACTGACCCCTACTCCGACTCCGACTCCTACTCCTCCTCCTTCTTCTTCTGCCACTACAAGTACTACTACTACTACTACTACTACTACTACTACTACTACTACTACTACTACTACTACTACTACTACTACTACTACTAACTACTACTACTACTAACTACTACTACTACTACTACTACTACTACTACTACTACTACTACTACTACTACTACAACTACAACTACAACAACAACTACTACTACTACCACTACTACTTCTAATACGACGACGACGGCTATGACTATGACTGTGGCATGAAGGCTGCGACTACGACTATGGTTTGGACTACGGCTATGGCTTCGAAAAAGACGGCGACCACTACTAAGACTGCTACCAGCACTTCTGCTACTACTGACTCCTACTCCTACTCCTACTCCTCCTCCTTCTTCTGCTACTACTACAACAACTACTACTACTACTTCTAATACGACGACAACGGCTATGACTATGACTGTGGCCATGAAGGCTGCGACTACGACTATGGCTTGGACTACAGCTATGGCTTCGAAAAAGACGGCGACCACTACTAAGACTGCTACCAGCACTTCTGCTACTACTGACTCCTACTCCTACTCGGACTCCGACTCCTACTCCTCCTCCTTCTTCTGCTACTACTACTACAACTACAACAGCAACTACAACTACAACTACAACTACAACTACAACAACTACTACTACTGCTACTACTACTACTACTACCACTTCTAATACGACGACGACGGCTATGACTATGACTGTGGCCATGAAGGCTGTGACTACGACTATGGCTTGGACTACGGCTATGGCTTCGAAAAAGACGGCGACCACTACTAAGACTGCTACCAGCACTTCTGCTACTACTGACTCCTACTCCTACTCCGACTCCGACTCCTACTCCTCCTCCTTGTTCTGCTACTACTACTACTACTACTACTACTACTACTACTACTACTACGACTACTACTACTACTACAACTACAACAACAACTACTACTACTACTACTACTACTACTAGCAGCACCAGCACTTAGTACACAACTAAGGCCTCCTGATCGAGTTCTTGAATCCTCAACCCCAGCACTTGGCAGTTCCCGGTTGCCTGGGCCACGTGCCTGCATCTGACAAGGCCGCTGATGCGTGGGTTTCTGATCCCATATTATGTATTGGAGCATCTAAAGCCTGCGTGGCATTTGCAACCATTGCGCAAAACAATTCTTTGTGAGATCCTGGCAACTTTTGCAGATCCTGGATGTCGGGCTTTGTCTTAGGTTGCGGGCTAGTGCACTCGCGACAAGACTTGGACTCTCGGTCCAGAAACGTTTTTTCAAGAGGCATGTGTAAGATTACCACGATCACCCCAGAAACAAGTTCTGACCCACATGCATGTGTACATGCGGAATGTGTACCGGCTTCCCACTCTCAAGACATGTTCCGAAACGCTGGAGCAAGCCTGAATCATAAATTTCATCATGCTCAGCGGTGCTAAGCGCTGCAGCATGAGCCAGCTCAAATTACAACACGTCGTACATAAGCTCTGCAGACTCTTATTGGCATCACGAGTGTGACATCGTGTGATGGAGAAGCAGAATCCCGGGCAGACCAGCCTTCAGTGTGAGGCCTATGTCAAGGAAGGGCGACCCGACCTGCCAAAGAGTTAAGTGCGGGGGGTTCGGTTCATTACTGCTGAAGCTTAGTAAATGCCTTAGATGCTTAGGGCATGGGGCTCAGGGACGAGGCCTCGATTCCATGGTCCAAAAGGAGTCGAACAAGAATTGACGATGCTGCACGACGACACACATTAAGTAGCCAATCAACCTGGCAGCAACAACAACACTTGAACAACAGCGACACCACAATGCCATTGACCCTTTCACGTCCTTGCAAAGTCACACAAAGTCCAAATGTAGAGTACAAGCAAATGTAGAGAAGCATCTAGAGACTCAGGCGCTCAATGAGGTGGTCGAAATTAAAAGTTAGCCTGTGGGCGTTGGCACTCTCCGCTTGGCTTCAAGATCGAACATGATCTGTGGACGGTGAAGCGAGAGCCAGATACAAGCAAGGACTTGATACTTGCCCTACAGTTATGGACATGCCTGCCTTGTCTTGTCTTGTATGCCGCTTGAGTCCGTTAGATGAACTTGTGTCGGAGCTCTACACAACCGGAGTTGCGCACACATACTCACCTGGAATGTGCATTGATGCCAGGAGAGACTGTAGCCGCAACTTTTGGCTGTTCATTCTGAGCCCCACATGACAGACCATATCCCAAAACAGCATTGGCCCCTGAACAAAACACTAACGTCTGTTTAACAGCCCACGCCAGTTTCGCACACGGCTATCAGCAGCGCCCATTGGGCCGTATGATGGGGTTTTAGGGGGGATCACGGATGTCAATGCAACTACAAATGAAGGTCGGGCTAGGGTGTGGACATCTCTAGACTGGCAGAGACCGTACAAAGGTTCGCCTTTGGCGAGCGGACGCTAGTGCTGTATTGCATCAGTTTACCTCGTGCTTGCAGCTCATCTGCTTGGACAAGCATGTGAATACACTCCCTTCACACACCCGTCTGCATCAACGACGAAGTTGCACATCGCATCTTTGGCGACATCCTGGCCGTGATCCGTCAGAACCGCTCTTGTGCATGTCACTTGAAGTTTACACTAGCAGTTCGTAGAAATTACGTGCCGCACTTGCGCAAGCACAACTGCAGAGGGCTCAAAGCAGTTTTCAGCAGTGTGCCAATCCCTCATCCCTCTCCAGCAGACTGTGTTTCACCAATGCATGCCGCATGGCTCCTGGTCGAGCTGACCCCCGCGAGCACAGCCCACAAATGCCTCGACGTGGCGGCTCACATGGCAAAAGTCCTCCAAGCAAAGCTGTCGGGGTATACCGCTGAAGGGGCTTAGGGGAGGATGAGAGATTCACAAGGCCGCCTGAGTACGCCGGCCTTGAAAGTCCAAGTCTGCGCTGCCGTGTGATGCTTGCTTCCGCAAGGTTCCCACTTGACCCAGTGCCGAGTGATTGTGCCAATGGCACTTCTGCACAGGAGAGACAGCAGTCCATGGGACATGTTCTCCAGTTGTCCAGGTCTGCTATGCACAGTGATCCAGTATCAGACTGTAGATATAGTACATGGTCCCACTATTTGAGAAATCTGTTCGTCACAGGTGGCACAGGTGCACTTTGTCGTTCTGCATGCTTCGCCCGAGAAGCATCGAGACGTATCCAACATGGAACCTTCGTGTAATTCTGCACAGGTTGTCACAATTAGCCTCATTGGATCAATCTGTAGCCTGCTAGTGCTCATCACGTAACCTCTTGTGGGTGGTGCTGTGTTTCGTTTGTATGTGGCATGCCATTCGTTGCTGCGAAGCCAACGAAGTCTCCTCGGACTGCAGGAGGCCACTCTCCAAAGGCAAACGGCCCACGACGATGCCCTGACGAGTATCGGCGCTCTGTGCATAGGGCTTATTGTGCTCAGTGGTCTGCTTGCAGGAGATTTGGGTTCCGGGTCTTCAATGCCAGCGCAATTGCTCGCCTGAGCAGCAAGTGCCCTCCAGAGCTCACGAGCCACATGCTCGTGTCCTGAATTCATCGGAACTCAAGCAGAAGAACTGCACAGGAGACTTTCATTCCGGGCTTGGTTTTTTGGGGGGCCTTCTGTGCGCAGTATGTTCCACATGCTGGTCTGAGCTGCGCCTAACTGGCATTCAGGTTGGGGCGACTGTCTGCACGGATGCAAAATTGGGGAACACATTATCATGCAGCTCTATCCTAGCATCAGTAGCACGACGATGAGTGTCGAAGATGCATCCGCTGATTCCGGCGGACAACACGCAAGTCTGCTTCATCGCCTGATGCTGCAGTGAGTCCACAAGCACCTGAAGTCCTCGGACCTTTTGGACCTTCGACCGCGGCAGACCCTGAGTTCCGTTCACATAAGACGGGAAGCTTCGGACCCAACACCAAAGGAGGGTCGTCTTTCCATTCTGGAGCAAGCGCCCAAGAACTGCAGCGAGATCTGGGACCACATCAGACCAGTAAAGGACATCTGAGCACAAAATCAAGTCGTAGTTGGGAAGGGCGTCCTTTGGCCAGTTCGCGACCACCTCGGGCAGAGCTTCAGCTCCCTGTGTGTCGCACGTTTTTCTTTTACTGCAAGATGCTCGACGGTGCACTTGCGCACATGTCCGTGGAGCTGTCTCGAACTTTAAAGCTAGTTTGCCTAGTTGGAGGACAAGGACAACACACAGATAACCTTCCCCAGAAAACTCATGAACAATATTTTCTTGTAACCTCCATCCATCTATACATAAGTCATATACACAAAGCGAGCTAGATAGATCGATAGGTAGATACAAAGATCACAAAGAAACAAAGAGAGAGCGCGAGAGAGAGAGAGAGAGAACACCTGAACAGTGTGCGGACCATACGAGCGAGCTAAACTTGATGGGCTCGTGATTGCAACTTGTGGCTCGACGGCTAGCTGGACTCTGCCATGTTTAGATTTACAATACGAACTTACACACGCGAAGCTAAGCGAAGCCCACCTTCCAGTCAAGCAAAGCCAAGGAAGTGCCCGGCGAGCATAGGCTGTTCGCGGCCATGTTGCTAGCCGTCAGAGGGAGTACCTATTCAGGACACCGCACTCCCACTTTCCAGACAACTTTGGGACCGAGAAAATTGGGGTCAAGCGATGCCCATTTATGCAACTTATGAGCCGGTAACTTGCTCAAAAAGGGTGCTTCCCGTGAAACAAAGGGTTCCAACTCGAACAAACGAAATCACTTAGCAGCTCCTCGGGAAGCATTCGGGGGTCGAGGGCATGAGCAGCAGGATCAGAAACCAAATGCTTTGGACTTTGGAGGGCGATTTGACTTTGTGTCCGATACAAGCACATGCAGGAAGCGGCTTGCATGGCCACATGAAAGCATTCTGACAACCGCATCGCGTTGAAAGTGCCGGGGCTCAGGGTTTAGCGGACACACTGTACATAGTGTTTCAGGAATTGGGCCATTCCGGCAGTCAGGCTGTCTAAAGCTACATGTGTGAAGCCTCAAAACCAGAGGTTAGCCATGCAGAAAAACCATCCCAGTTGGTTGCTGAGCTGGCGGCTTGTGGGAGGTCAGTGAGTGTCACATCTGCACCCAGTGAAGCTGCCGCAAGGCCAACGGCTCCTCTGTCAAAGGCTGGGGCTCTCGGCTTCGGGACACCAAGAAATCTTTCGGGCAAGTCTCATCACACTAAATAGTTGTGAATGTTGGGACAGCCACTTCCAATTCTTGTCTCGACGCTTCCAGTCGTTTCCAATGCTGCTAGAAGCACATGCTATGTGCCCGGAGTCGAACTCGGTCAACTTCAGGACACATCCGTTAAGGTTGAAACTATGTTGGCTGTTTCTCGGCTGTAAAAAGGGTGTATGAGATTTACCAGTGGTTGGAAGTTGCTTGCAGGACCGGAAGGGGACTGCACGCCTCAGGGGCAAAACGAACATCGCACTGCGGCAGTTTCCCGCATGCCCCTGCACACTCAAAAGGTTTCCCTTCATGGAGAAAGACTTGCATCATCCTTGGGAAGTCAACGTTAGTCAACGTACAAGTTCTTGTGTTTGAGACCGTAAGCTTTACAAAAGCAGGGCGTATGGGGAGTAATAAAAAGATACTGGGCGTCGGGCTTCCCGGTCTTTATCCGAACATCAGGACTGACTCAGGAGGCTGAGCCTTCCCCCGTTGCAATGATTTCTTTGGGAACCCCCTAACAGCACGGCAATCATTTTACATACAGCGCGGTACATTGGAACATGACCCATGTGACCGTATCATGTGACCCCTTGAATTCATTTTAGGGGGGCCGGAAATGATTGTGGCAATTCGCAATCATGTAGCACCCTACCCCGCTTGCTCCTAGGAAGTGTAACTCACGTTACGGCTTACGATGCGCAATCCCGTGGATCTGTATACACGGTCCGAAACCATCTTCGGGATGTCGGCGGAGAGTAACTTCTGCATTTGGTGGGCATATGTCTTCCGGAACAATGGCACCATATGTGTATTAACAGGTGAAAGGACATTATGCGAGTGGGACTCCATACGCACATGTTATCTTCTGTCATATTGTCCGAAGCACTGCGGCTGAGCCCTGGCGATGCCTGTTCCGCTGCCAAGCTCCAGGATGCGCTTACCATTTAGGTACCTGCGCTTCGCGAAATTGGGGTTTCAATCTAGGCAAACCTCTCAGACCGTACACAGCGACGAACTGGCATTGAGTTTGGCAGGTATTCGGCACGCGCCATGCGCCCAAATAAGTTCACCGGTACGGAGCATCCCCTGTGGATTCTGACACTCTGAAAGCCTCAAAGTCCTCTGATGTACTGATGTACTCTCCCAGTACGCGGGGATGCCTCCCGGGGGGGCGCGACGAGGAGGCGAGGAATCGGCACAACACGAGTGCGGCACCCCAGAGGTTACCTGGAGATGACGCGCGAATTCGCGCAAGGCTGATAGCGGCTAATATGCAGGACATGCTTACCGAAGCAGTCGTCAAGAATGCTTCCATCCGTTCCAGGCTTTCCAGACAGGAGGCCACCAACGCCATGCTCACTGCGCTTTTGGTTTGCCAGGTGCTTGATGCCCAGGGCTTTGTCTCTGACGAGTATCCTGGTGCTATGCAGGCCCCGGCTCACGTCCCCTCCTCTCCCCTGCCGAGGCCTGAACCATCCCCCTACACCCCCAGATGCAGGTTGCTTCCCAAACACTCACGGAGCAAGTCTGCATCCAGCATCTAGAATCTAGACGACAGCGATTTGGCCACGCAGTCGGAGAATGCCCCGTGCTAGAGTTCGTGTGCTGCCCACTCTTCATCACTCTTCGCTCCGAGATGAAGCCTACTGGGAGCGTGAGCTCTCGAAGCATCCAACCTACGGTTCCTGGACATGGCATAGTCATCGCGCTGCTTGTTTCGCAGCTTGCGGAGCTCGGCAGGCGAGCACGGCGACAAATGCGGCTGAGCAGGCGCCTGCGCCGCAGGGTGTGGGATGGCACCATTTTGGTAAGGATGTGGCTTCAGCTTGCGGATATGTTGCTATGTTGGTACTGGTAGTGTTCCGTGCAGGACATGTGCTGGCCATCGCATAACAATCTAGTGTCATTTCGGCAGTGGTTTGGCTGCAATTTGCATCGAGCTGATTTGGCAGCTGCTTTCAATTCTGATTTATGACCTCCCCCGCTGCCCGTTCCAACGGTGTGCTGTATTTGGAGAACTTGGGATGCGGAGGTTTTCACAGATGAAAAATGTAATGCGTGTAAAGCCCTGGGATGCATGACTGGGGCAAAAGACCGTCAACACCACTTCCGCAAGTATGCAGTATGCATCATGTTCTATAGCTGTTCCATTACGCAAGGCCAGCAGAACAACAACCGCAACAACAACAACAACAAGAAGAAGAAAAAGAAGAACAAGGCATGTGCGCCTTTCGCTGCCGCGGAAGGTATATCGATTGCGTCTGGAAGGATGTCGAGCACAGATGAATGCGGAAGTGGTGAAAACACAACAAGCGCAGTGAATTCGAGATGTTGCATAATGTAAAAACCCATGGGATTGGACCTGCCCGAAAACATGCCTTCTGGAAAAAAACAGACCCACCGTAAATATCGTGTTGTTCGCTTCTTGATGCGCAAAAACCTATGCACATCGACACATTCCAGCAATGGTCCGCACGGAAGACCTACACGCAGGAGCAGTCCGCAGGTGCAGAAAACTCCATGGCGGCAAGAAGTGCGCATGCCAATAATAACAACAGCAACAGCAGCAACAACAAGCACAAGTGCCAGATCAATAACATTAACAAGTGCAATAGCACGAACGAGAAAACGAACAACAACAACAACAACAACAACAACAACAACAACAACAACAACAACAACAACACCAACACCAACACCAACAACCAACACCAACACCAACACCAACACCAACAACACAACAACACAACAACACAACACCACCACACACAACCACCAACACAACAACACCAACACCACCAACACACAACACCACCAACAACAACAACAACAACAACAACAACACACAACAACAACAACAACAACAAAAACAACAACAACAACAACAACAACAACAACAACAACAACAACAACAACGACACAACAACAACAACAACAACAACAACAACAACAACAACAACATAAACAACAACAACAACAACAACAACAACAACAACAACAACAACAACAACAACAACAACAACAACAACAACAACAACAACAACAACAACAACAACAACAACAACAACAACAACACAAACAACAACAACAACAACAACAACAACAACAACAACAACAACAACAACAACAACAACAACAACAACAACAACAACAACAACAACAACAACAACAACAACAACAACAACAACAACAACAACAAAACAACAACAACAACAACAACAACAACAACAACAACAACAACAACAACAACAACAACAACAACAACAACAACAACAACAACAACAACAACAACAACAACAACAACAACAACAACAACAACAACAACAACAACAACAACAACAAAAACAACAACAACAACAACAAAAACAACAACAAAAACAAAAAAAAAAACAACACCAACACCAACCCCAACACAACAAAACACCAACACCAACACCCAACTCACCACCACCACACCACCACCACAACAGCAACCATTACCACAACCACAGCCACAACCACAACCACAACCGCAACCTCAACCACAACCACAACAACACTAGCACTAACACCAACACCAACACCACACCAACACCACACCAACACCATCAACAGCAACAATAACAACAACAACAACAACAACAACAACAACAACAACAACAACAACAACAACAACAACAACAACAACAACAACAACAACAACAACAACAACAGCAACAGCAACAGCAACAGCAACAGCAACAGCAACAGCAACAGCAACAGCAACAGCAACAGCGACGACAAGGACAAGGACAACGACAACAACGACCAAGACAACCACAACAACGACAACAGCAACGACAACGGCAAGACGCAACAAACAACTAAAATCAACAACCAGCGACACACACAACAAGGTAGCAAATAATAACAAACGACAAACAACAACCAACAATTGTGGAGTTCCGAAACACCCCTTTGAGCGCAGTAATTAAGGAGTGAGGTTGCGGGAATTGTGCCGCACTTACCTTTGGCGGCCTATCCCTACATGAAAGGGTGCAGTCAAAGATCGCTGGGGTCGTTGGATGTGTCACAACAGTTTTGGATATAACATGCTGATACTTGAAGCCTATGCTATAAGGACATAAGGATATTGAGAAACCCTGGTTTGGAGCTTTTGGGCTGGGCTTATGTTTAGGGAGTTTAAGGTTAAACGCTTTTGGGTTTGGGGTTTAGGCTTATATAGGATTTTAGGGCTCGGGCGGCTAGGGTTTGTGGTTTAGTTTTGGGCTTCTGGCGTCTGGACCTGCTGAGTCTGCTGGGGCTAGCCTTCCCTTCATACCCAGCTCGGTAATTAAGCGCGGACCTAGATTACCGAGCTAGCTCGGCAATTAAGCCCGGCGGCTCTGCTGCCGCAACCGGGCCGGACCTTAATTACCGAGCTAGCTCGGTAATTAAGCCCGGTGGCTCTGCTTCCGCAACCGGCCGGACCTTAGTTACCGAGCTAGCTCGGTAATTAAGCCCGGCGGCTCTGCTGCCGCAAGCGGGCCATGCGGGCCGGACCTTGATTACCGAGCTAGCTCGGTAATTAAGCCGGGTGGATCTGCTGCCGCAACCGGACCGAACCTTAATTACCGAGCTAGCTCGGTAATTAAGCCGGGTGGCTCTGCTGCCGCAACCGGACCGAACCTTAATTACCGAGCTAGCTCGGTAATTAAGCCCGGCGGCCCGACAACTACCATTGAGCAACTGGTTTTGCTAATTCCCGGGCCTCCGGGCTCCGGGCTTAATTACCGAGCTAGCTCGGTAATTAAGCTTTTTGCAGCGTGAATCTGGCCAGAAAGTAGCGCCGGACCCCTGAATTCAGGCTGGCCCGAATCCTGGTCCGGTTGCGGAAGCAGAGCCACTGGGCTTGATTACCGAGCTATAGGTATGAAGGGAAGGCTAGCCCCAGCAGACTCAGCAGGTCCAGAAGCCAGAAGCCCCAACGAAACCATAAATCCTAGCCGCCCCCCCAAACCCAGAAGCCTTTAACCTTAAACTCCCTAAACCATAAACCCAAGCCCAAAAGCCCTACACCAGGGTTTATCGATATCCATATTGTCCTTATAGCATAGGCTTGTATCAGTATAATACACCCAAAACTGTTGTGACAAATCCGACGCCCCCAACGATATTTGACTGCACCCTAGAATGTAGAGATAGGCCTCCAAATGTAAGTGCGGCGCAATGGCAGCAACCTCGGTCCTTGCTTGCTACGCTCCCGAGAGGGCTTCGGAAGTCCACAGCCAGGATCAGAAACTATCGCAAGAACCTAAACTGACCTCGTGTCTAACCGCACCCTACTTTTGCAGGACCTGCTGCCAAAAGCTAGTGCAGCAAAGGTCTTGGGCTTATTCACCGCCCACACCCCCACCCACACCCCCACCCACACCCACACCCGCACCCCCACCCCCACCCCCACACCGCCACCCCCACCCCCCCACCCCCGCACGCCCACCCCCACACACATAGCCCCACACCCCCACACCCCCACACCCCCCCCACACACACACACAGACACAGACACAGACACAGACACACACATACAAAAACACACACACACACAAACACACACACACAACACACACACACACACACACACAACACACACACACACACACACACACAACACACACACACACACGCAACACACAACACACAACACACAACACACAACACACAACACACAACACACACACAGACACACACACGCACACACACACACCCACACACACACACACCCACACACACACACACACCCACACACACACCCCCACACACACCCCCACACACGCACCCACACACACGCACCCACACACACACACACCCACACGCACCCACACACACGCACCCACGCACACACACACACACACACACACACCCACACGCACCCCCACACCCGCACCCACACACACACACGCACCCACACACACGCACCCACACACACGCACCCACACACACGCACCCACACGAACCCACACACACGCACCCACACACACGCACCCACACACACGCACCCACACGCACCCACACGAACCTACACGAACCTACACGCACCCACACGCACCCGCGCGCACCCGCGCGCACC